ATGATGAAAAAACTTACTTTCCTGACAAACAACTGACACTAACCCTACAAGTATTCCATATTTATTGGTTTTAAATGCTTTACTTCCAACATTGATGCCATATTTAAGTATAGGTAACTATCAGTTCTAAGAAAGTCAATTACATCTGTTAATACCATATATACTGAAACATAAAAGACCAATCTGTTGGGTTTAATTCACTTGATATTCATCATTAACAAAAACATTCACTTGATATTCTTTATAAACAAAAACTGGATACCAATACAGGATTCATTAAAAAAAGAAAAAATCTTTCTTAATATGGTATTAACTTTAAAAACTACTCGTAAAAACCACACAGGCCACACGAAATTAATCTTTATAATAATGATTAACTTTTCCTTTTAAACTTTATAAAGCAATTAATCATTTCCAATATTATAGAAAACCATATTTCACTGTTGATCCAGTACCTGTGAATTTAGCTATCTTATATACCTTTGTACCATTTTATGCCATTAAGGTTGTCAATCTATGTAAAACATAATGGGGTAAGTACCCAATTACCAAATGGTACCAAATCAAACAAAATGTCACCAAAGGAGCCATCGCCCATCATGTTGAAACAGTTTAAATGAATGAATTCATATGTATGTATTATAATTGTTAGCCAACAAATATTGTCGAGTTTTTAATTGTTGAAATATATATCAAAAAAGTGACAATGAATGCCAGAAAGAAGAAAGATAGGAAAAAAAATTTTGTTTGATTTTCTCAGCTTGAAATGATCCATAAAATGTTGAAATTTAACGTTAGTTTCGACTGGCAGAAGAAAAATAGCCAAGAATAATACCTATTGTACTGGTACAAGTACTTCTTTATCTTCATATGATAGAGTACCAGTCATTTATAACCTCAAAATTCTCCCTTAAGCAACACCGACGACGAAACACCCCCTTTCTTCCCCTACCCCTCACCACCCAACCCCCGTCTGTTTTTTGGAAGAACAATCTGATGGTTAATGGTGCCTACAGAATCTACCTATGAAACCAGTGCGGACCATGATCAGACCGCCGGCTGATCTTGGTCTGATAGCGGTCTGATCATGGTCTGATAGCGGTCTGATCTTGGTCTGATAGCGGTCTGATCATGGTCTGATAGCGGTCTGATCTTGGTCTGATAGCGGTCTGATCATGGTCTGATAGCGGTCTGATCTTGGTCTGATAGCGGTCTGATCATGGTCCGATAGCGGTCTGATCTTGGTCTGATAGCGGTCTGATCATGGTCTGATAGCGGTCTGATCATGGTCCGATAGCGGTCTGATCATGGTCCGATAGCGGTCTGATCATGGTCTGATAGCGGTCTGATCATGGTCCGATAGCGGTCTGATCATGGTCTGATAGCGGTCTGATCTTGGTCTGATAGCGGTCTGATCATGGTCTGATAGCGGTCTGATCATGGTCCGATAGCGGTCTGATCATGGTCTGATAGCGGTCTGATCATGGTCCGATAGCGGTCTGATCATGGTCTGATAGCGGTCTGATCTTGGTCTGATAGCGGTCTGATCTTGGTCTGATAGCGGTCTGATCTTGGTCTGATAGCGGTCTGATCTTGGTCTGATAGCGGTCTGATCTTGGTCTGATAGCGGTCTGATCTTGGTCTGATAGCGGTCTGATCATGGTCCGATAGCGGTCTGATCTTGGTCTGATAGCGGTCTGATCATGGTCTGATAGCGGTCTGATCTTGGTCTGATAGCGGTCTGATCATGGTCTGATAGCGGTCTGATCATGGTCTGATAGCGGTCTGATCTTGGTCTGATAGCGGTCTGATCTTGGTACGATAGCGGTCTGATCATGGTCTGCACTGTTTGCTAATCAGTCATACATATTTTGAAAATTTCCTTAAAATCAAAATTATGAACAGTCTCATTTAAATTGGACGATGGATGAATCTATTTCAGACATTTAGTGTAGCAAGGGTTAAATCCCCGCCTTGTAAAAAAATAAAAGGTGGTCTTAGTGTTTAGTTACTACTTCATACAATCTTTCATATCTGATATAATAACTAGAACAAATTATTATGTCCACTCATTGATTTTGCTATTACTTCAAAAAATAATGATCAAATTGTTTTAAAAGCCTATTAATCTACAAATTTCAAATGTTTAATATTACCAGTCTTATTACTATATGGTCTAAGGGAAGTAACTCTATAAAAAACTTAAAAGGCAAAATTAAAGTGCTCATTAAAGTGCAACCACAAGATTGAATGTTTTGATACCATTCAACTTGTGATAAAAATATACCCATTCACTGCTTTTAAAGTGAAATAATGTTTACAAAATTTTGATATTCGAACAAAAGTTAGATAAAAAAAATTAATGCAAATTTGGCAAATTAACACAGCTTTTTCATACTTAAAGTTGATAAAAACCCTTTTAAATGTGGTAAAACATTGATTAGGAAAGTGATATGTTTGTTACTGGAAAGATGATATATCCAGCAAACCTCAAGTACCCATAATGCATCTTGATTACATGTCACTTCAGTGTAAGATTAAAGATTTTGACAATTCAATCAGTTAATGTGCGTACCATAAGAAAACTGACAAACACACATCATAAAGTTGTTCACCAAAGTGGTAACAAACTTTCATAATAATTTCGATCCTTTCATTCTAATGTCTGAATTTAATTTTACTCAAAATACTCTGCCACAGTGGTTTATGAAAATCATGTCAATTACATTTCAACAAATTTATGAAGTCATGCTGCACATTTGAATAGCTGGTGCACATCTTTTGATAAAGCTTTTGAAAAAAAAATGGAGAGACGATATTAAAAATACACTAAATAGGTTTAAATGTGCATCCTGTAAGAAGTTTACTGAACAGTTTCAAGACATGAATTTCACAAAATTCAGTTTCGAAGGTGTATATAAGATTATATTTTTCAAAAACAGATTCTCGAAGGTATAAATTAAAAATTAAGCAAAGGTTTGAAAACAAACAATTATTTATATGATACAGTGTAATATATATTGATGCTGAAAATATAGTGTTTACTATAATAATTAAAAATTAAGCAAAGGTTTGAAAACAAACAATTATTTATATGATACAGTGTAATATATATTGATGCTGAAAATATAGTGTTTACTATAATAAGATTAATTAAAGGGACCATCATAGATCTTCTACATAAAAATGCAAAATGGTAATTTAAGTGCACTGTTTTACCTTTAGACCATTATAAATTATACAACTATTTACTCATTTGAATTGTATACCTCAGGGGTGTTGATCAGCATTTTGGGAGACTTCAGGCAGTGCTGTTCACTCTGTGTGTATTTTTTTGAAGGACAGGTTGTTCAAAGATGCTTTAATAATTCATTTTTTCTTAAAAATCATCCTGGGAAAATGTACAGGACTACAGTATGATTATAGCCTTACATTTCCATAAATCAGATAACAGTCCATTTTCCATTTAGCCTGTCCATCTGAATGAATACATCCATTTATGAATGATCCGGCCATTTATGAATGACCAAAAGGGTTATGTGCACTTTGACCTGGTCATACATTTTGCTGTTTTTTGCTTGGTGATACTGTAAGATGTTATCATGATACCTAAAATATCATAAATAATGAGATTAATGATTCTCGGACATTTGAAGGCCTGGCTGTATGTACTTATATAGATAATATCGCAAAATCCCATCAAGATCTGTAGTGGGGGAAAAAAGGATTATTTGTTCGGATGTTGGAAAAGGTGACAGTAGTGATACAGTAGATGAATAGCGGAATGATTCATGCTTCATACCCACTCAAACCAATATAAAATTAACAAAATCTGACACTGAATGCAAATTGCCCTATAGCTAAAAATACATCTCGGGTATCGTAATGTGCCGATGACAATGAATTCGACGAGAGATAAAAGTGAAAAGGGAACTCCCATTACTCCTGACATAGGATATTTATGTAAATGTTGATTTTAAAAATAGCTGCGGATTTACATACATTTATTCAAATGGTCATACATAATGATTCATTATATATTCGATACACTTAAAATTCTCGTTAAATACAGATTAATAAAGATAAATTCAAATATTATTATACTTGTTTAAAAAGTATGCGCACTCACAACTTTTACCGTAAGAAAGAGATAAATATCTATAATAGAAAATGAATCTATTAACTATTTTTAGTAAATGATAGTAATGATCAATCAATTCACTTTAAAAGATATAAAATTGAATACAAAAAAAAACAACTTTAGCTAAACAAACAAAAAATCTACAAAAAAGACAGCATAAGTTACTTAATCAATTACATCTAATGTTGTAATATATGCAAAAACACTCCACAATAAGTGCAGTTTTGATCATTTTGTCAATAATACACTTTTGTGATAATATCTTCAAAAGTGGATGACTTGTATGGGGTTTGCATTCATTCAGTAGTCACGACTAATTTTTTTTAAGTATACAAATGCTGATAATCGTCACCAGTTATGTACTCCCTCACTCCATATTTGTGAATCTGAAGCGATTTCAATCATTCACGACTTAAACCCTATCTTTTTACTAACTAACAAAAGCATTACAACTAAACATGTCAATTTATATTAATAATCACCATTTAAATCGGACTTGCAAAATTTCTCCAATTTATCAACTCCAGAAAATAAAAAGACACCTTATTACCTACAAGGATATCAGTTGGCAAAAAATGATTACAAAAACTTGATTATATTGTTAGTATTTTTTATATAAATTACATGTTTCAACTTCAACCCCACAATTCATAAATACACGTTTATCGCCGTTTATCTGTCCTTAGATCTATGACAATACGCATAAAGGTTTACCAATAAACTATCAAATGAAATTCATACTTTTACTACACCAATTTCCAATCATTGAAAGTTCAATAAATACGTTTGTGGCAAAGACGCTTGTCTCCGTTCTTTTGAACTAATTACTGTAATTACGTACTCGAGTCTCAGAGTGGGTAAACTCATCATAGTATTAAAGGCAAACCCCAACCATTAGTGTTATCAATAATAAAGGCCACTTTTCGTTAAAATGCAGACTGTTGTATTTCTTTAAAAACAATATCAATTCTATAACTCATTTATGCACCCAAATGTTTGCCTTCTAGAAAATTAAATGGTCATGAAAACAAAAGCATATAATTCATGTTAGCACGGTCCTGTCATTTGACATTTTCTCAATGAGCGATGAACGACTTTTCTTAATTAATTTTTCAGCCGATCGAATTTCAAATAATTTTACCTCTGGACATCCATTTATTTCCTTTCAAGGATTTTACGCTCTTCTTGGGTTTTTTTCTCAATGACCTTGATTTAATTTACAGATAATGCTGTTCTGCCCTCCATGACCCATCCGCAGCAGACGACGCTTCTGGATGCATCGGCCATGACCATAATGAACAATATAATCATCGTATAAACATCCTAGTGACCAAATGCCTCATGATCACGTTCAATAACATGTTTGTATACATTCTGACGATGGCCGGGAATTCTGGAACAAAAAGTACCTGAAAATAAAGTGTTTGAAAATGATTAATATAATTAACATTGAATTTGGCATGCAAACAACGTAATTTGCTTTTCACAATCATTCCTATCATTGAGTTATTTAAACAGGACAATAGAAATATATAAATTGGTGAAAAGAAATCCTTGAGCATATATTTGTCTGGGTTTTACTGTAAATAGTTCATAGGAGATAAATACATTCAAACTTATTACATTGATATTTTACTCTTGAATAATTAATATGCATAATGATTTCAGCCAATTTAGATAACAACTTTTTTAAGGTTCAAATTCATAGGTCAAATTCAAAGGGCAATTTTAAAAAGTTTTCCAATTTCTCTTAAAGTACAAAGGCAAGTTTTCCAATACCTTGTCTTTAAATTAAAAAATGCACTACATTTTTAAATCATTCTTCACAATCATGTACTATCGTTTTACAAAGTAAAAGTACAGGGTCCTGTGAGATTTGCTGAAGTCCTTTTAATGAATATGCTGGAAAATATTGGCTATCATTTTCTTAAAATACTATAAATGTCACTGTAAGAGAGTTTAATGAAACATAACAAACTAAGAAAGATGAGGAACAAGAAGTCTTTCTAAATTTTTCACTCAATTACTCAAAATGTGAGTAAATTGTCTGAGAGAACTTTTCATTTCAAGTGATTGAATACTCCCATCAGAGCTAAATATTTTAAATTGACTTGTCCATTTTTCAATCTGGATAAACCGTTCATCATAATTATTCAAGTAAGTCAACTGAGGTCTACATGCTTAAAAACATAAAATTTTAATTTTTACATGGATCAGCTTGCCGTGGCACTTAATTAAAACGGATTTATTTGCGAAATAAACTGAAAATCATATTTCTGCGCCATTCTTAGCCCAATTAGAGTGAAAAGCATTTTGGGTCATTTATCACAATTAAAATATTCATTCTGGAAATATGTAGTGAGGGATTGATCTGAATTTTGCACACAAGTTATTGGTCTAGACCTTCATCAAACGTTAAAGGAATAAGAATGGATGGATCGATGTCTGTCTAATATAAATATTCATCATTTAAAAAGAGGAACCATGACAGTTTCCCTATTGACATCAACCCTATAAGAGAGAAATTCGTGTTTAAAGCCTCTTTTTTTTACTTGAGAAATAAGTTCATGGCGCCGCCATTTTTGCGTTCTGTCATTCTCGCGAGACAGACGAAGACCGAGATTGTGAAACGTGTTATACCCACTTCCGGTATAGTTGTACACGCTGGTACAACTGAAATATAATCTTGATGAAAGAACTTATTAATTTAATTGCGTAACATTATATATTATTTTTTAAAACATTTTATGGAACTGAATTGCTTAAATTAATTAATTGAAGACGGCCGCGACATTAATTATCATTTTGCCCGATACTCAAGCTTGCTGATGATCCCACCACATGATTTTAGGCAATGACTGGCTTAATTTTCAAAGATTAACCATAAATTTACTTTGGGAACTATGAGAAACTTCTTCAAATTGACGATATATCCTTTTATTTTTACCTTAATTTTCGCTAGGACAAGCTGTCCCAAATAGGGTACATCGCCGGTCATATTTTTCAAGGTAAAATAATCAACTAAATCCAATATGCTGAGGACGCGATTTTCCGCCATTGACGCTAAAAAATGAGAAAGGCGCAGGAAAATCGGCAGCCAGACTTATATCGTATGAAAACAAAACTGTCCGTAAAGTTATTTAGGCACCCAGTCAAAACTGGTACCAACAGCAACAGGTTGCCCATTCCGCTATAATTACGCATATTCTCGGGTTTATCCAGTTCCCCAAAGCTTTTTTCCACGTTTATCTACTTACCAAATTACTTTCCCCGACAGATACGCATTTCTTCTACCGTACATTTAATCCAATAAAACAAAAAATCATAAAATCTACTTAATATTTAAAATGATTATTGGGAACTGAAAAAAAATGTGTTGCTATTTTATGACGTGCTGTAATTTACTACAGTACAATTTGACAGGTGTGGAACCGAATTCCCCCTAAGGTCATTCAGTTCACTGATGAAGCGTAAAAAAATAGATGTCTATTTCGTCATTAGAATATTTGACAAGGGTGATAAACCAATTAGGCAATATTGTGCATGATCAAAAGGTCTGTCGGCACAGAGGCATACAAGGAGCAATAAAAATCGTCAGTACACACAGTGTGACAGGAGCATTTGGTGCAAATTAGGAACAATTAAAATGGACAATGCGCAGTATTAGACATAAAGTAGTAAGAACCAGCAATTGTGTGAATAAATAATGCAAATTAGATTTTTGAGCAGCCAATAAAAATGATTTGCCTGCAGTTAATATTAGGCCACGATTACGAAGCGCAGCATCATACGTTGACAGACATGTTAACAAATTTACTTTTCAAAACAGTTGCTGATATTTTTGAAATGTGTACATCAATTATAACATATGTTCACACCTTTAAATTTGAAAGTCAGAAATCAAACTGCAAAAAATTAATTATATGTACTATTAAGAACACGTTTTTAGTAGGGTTTTTATAATGGAAGTGGCTAGCGTACGGGCCCGTACGGCTAGCCAAAAGTTTTTAGCCGTACGTGAGTCACGTACGACTAGCAGGAACACGCTGTATTGGCTAGCCGTACGGCACTTTTCAAAATTTTATGGAAGTCGAAAATGCATATGTTATTTTATGACTTTAAGCGAGGATTTTAACCAAGAGAACAGCATTAATTGTCTTTGGATGTTAACTTTTTAGAGATTAATCGCCTTGATCGCTATATATATCGATCTTTGTCATCGCAAGATGTCGAGAAAAAAAATAGCCTTTGCTTGCATTTACACCAATTGAAATAGTTTACAAATTTTTGATAATAATCCTATTTTGTTTCATTAAGTTTAATTTTCGACACTTTTATATGGAAAAAGACCAACAAACAACAAACAACTGAAAATGATTGTTGTTGGGCTCTTGATAATTGCGGACAATTACCGACGGTACTGTATCAAAAGAAAGTTTGCATTTTCCGTGAAAGGCATTCTAAAATTCTATTGTCAGTCCCTGGATAGGTTTTATTTAAGGCTAATTAATTGATTGACTGTGCTTTTATGTTCGATATTTATCTACTGTTTTGAAAATTATATAATTATTTTTGCATTCACCGTTTTTTTTTTTTCCATTCAATGTTCTTTTTATTTATATTTTCCACTCCGATCATTTTTTATTCGTTTCCATGTGCTTAAAATTAACAAAATAATTTAATAATTCATACATATTAAACAACAAAATGATAAGCATGAAAATCAACAATTTTATAACGTTCGACTTCCATATAATTTTGAAAAATTGCCGTACGGCTAGACAATACAGTGCCGTCCTGGCTAGTCGTTCGTGACTCACGTATGGCTAGAGCTTTTGGCTAGCCGTACGTTTCCTTTAATTTATTTTTTATTTTTTTTTTTTTTTTGATATTGTTACGTATTTTGAACCAAAAAATCTACTCTACACCTCCTGTGAAAATTAAATTGTCAGATCAATACTTTATTATATCAATATTTCCTTACGATTCAACTAGATTTATCATGAATCTAAAAGATGTGGGGAAATGACATCACGCGCCACCCCTGTTTTTATACGGCCAATACACAACATGGCCCGCGCTTACCGATTTGTTAGAAATCGGTGATTTAGCGATTTTAAATTTTGTTATCATTTCGTTTAATAATATTATTTTGGCGGCAGAAAATTTGGCAGACTTATTATTATAGTAATTCTTTTTCTGAAATTCAAGTGCTTTTATTTATTTTAACCTTGTCTTTCCCTTTAAGAAACCTCAGGGAGCCCGCCTGTTAGGGAAAATTTCAAATTATGACCTGACCAGAATAAGGGGTAACTGCAGTTGCAGACCATGATCAGATTGCACAGATGTGCCAGAACCAGTTGCTTCAGCAAGGATAAAAGGTTTACACAATGATAGGTTTAGATTCAACCTTCACTACTTTAAAAAACAAATAAATTAAGGACCAGTAGTTTAATTGAGAGTGTATCCAAAATGTTTTGAACTTTGTCAAAAAATTCTTGTCTGGGAAATATATAACCCCCCCTTTTTAAATAACAGCTAGTTTTGTTTAAAAAAAGCTCAAAAATACAGACAGTATAAATAATTTTTCAAAAACCCTAGGGTTTTAAAAAATTTTTTCATGCCCTTTAATTATAAAGTTGTTTTAATCTTCTCCCCTGATTTTTGAAAAAAAAGGCAACCTTTTAAATTTAAAAGCCCCTCCCAAACTTAATGTAGACAAACAATGCCTGATGATGCTATTGATATTTACATTAGGAGCTAATCAACAAACAAACTGAACTTTGCTTACAATAAGTACATCTCAAAGTTAACCAGTACATGTACTTTTCCCAGTCTTTCTGTTTGTTATGTGTCAGTTATTTTTCTTTAATTTAATATTCATCACCTTTATATAATGAACTAATTGATCTTCTTTGAACTTAGAACTCATTTAATTGATAAAAATATTAGGAATTAACTTTATAAATTAAAAAGTCAAAGCATTTTCAACAAATATCACCAGGAGCCATTATAAGGCCCCATTCCCAATTCAAAATAACCTCCCTTTTCCCAATTTCAAAACTGCTTTTTTTAACTTTTAAGAAAAATTATGTCAAAACCAAAAAAGGCAATTTCAAATAATAATATGATTTATTAGAGCTAGCAGACACGTAAACAACGATAAGCAAATACAAATTAAAAATTAAAATTTAATGTTCAGTGTTATGCGGGAAAAACTTACACATAAACATTTTAAAACATCAATGAAAATAAATGTTTTTAATAAAGTTTGAAGAACTATTCATGAGAAAACAAATAAAAGGAGGAAAAAAAACCCTTTTAACAAATGTAATAAAAAATATAAGGGGAAATTTAAATTTTAAAATGAAAATAAACGTTTAAAAAAAATGCCAATACGGGAAACTAA